AGTGGGAGAGGGAGAAGCAGGCTCCCCGCAGAGCAGGGAGCCTGATGCGGGACTCGATCCCAGGACCCTGGGATCATGACCTGAGCCAAAGGCAGTCGCTCAACTGACTGAGCCACCCAGGCGCCCTAGGATAGTTTTTTATACCAAATTTTTGTGATGGCAATAACTGCCTGGCATATTTGTCCCTTGAATGTTTGGGTATAGCTATTCCAGAGAATGGTTATGATATGTCCTTGCCCTGGCTCATTAAAAAATAATAGTTTGGGAAAAAATGTTTATAGTACATATATCTAACTAAAGAGTTTAATGCAAAATACATAAAGAACTGTGCTCACTTCGGCAGCACATATACTAAAATTGGAATGATACAGAGCAGATTAGCATGGCCCCTGCACAAAGATGAATGCAAATTTGCAAAATACATAAAGAACTCATAGGAAAAAATACAAACAACCCAATTTAAAATAACAGAAAAAAAAACCCACCCTTGAACACATATTTTACCAAAAAAGTACGCAAAATAGCCAATAAGCACATGGAAAGGTATTCAATATCATTAGCCATCAGGGGATGCAAATTAAAACCACAGTGAGATATACCATTTCATGCACACTAGTGGGGCTCTTTTCAAAAAAAAAAAACCCTGACAAAACGAATGTTAGTGAGTATAAGAAGCAACTAAAAGTCTCATCTATTGCTGGCAGGAGTATAGAAATGGCCAACCATGCTGGAAAACTCCTTTGCAATTTCACTTCCCCAAAATTTCACTTCCAGGTATTACACCAGTAGAGTAGTATAGACTTTATTTAAAGTAAAGAAGTAAAGACTATATGTCCACAGAAAGTCTTAGAGAAGAATGTTCATAGTAACCTTATCCATAATTGCCTCAGACTGGAAATGACCCAAATAACAATCAACAGGTGAATGGATAAACACACTGTGGCAAACTCAAACAATGAAATGCTTCTTAGTAAAAAGAAATGAACTACTGACATACACAATAATTTGGATCAACTTCAAAAACATTATATCAAGCACCCCCACCAAAAAAACACAAATTTTATGATTCAATTTATATGAATTGCAATACAGGCAAAACAAGTCTATGTGTTAGAAACTAGTATTTCTCTCTCTCTCTCTCTCTCTTAGTGAAAATAGTGCAGAACTGACTATAAAGAAGCTTGAGAGGATTTTCTGGGGTTTGGGGAAATGTTTTCTATTTCCACAGATGGTTAAATAGGTGTATAGGATTAACAAAACTCTTCAGAACGAATACTTAAAATCTATGTATTGTATGTAAATTATGCAGCTACATCCTTAAAGATTGTTCTGGCCAAAGGGGATGGGGAGAATATATACATAGATGAAAAAGAAAGAGACACACACACACACAGAGAAAGAAAGAGAAATAATCAAAACTTAAGACTACACTTCAAGTTGCAGTGTTCTACAACCATTTGATAAGGGAAGATGCTCTCCATACACACAGTTTAATAACAAATAGTACCTTCTACAGGGACCATGTGGTATTTGTGAATGAATGGCTGCTACAGATGATCCTGAGGTAGCCACAGTGAGATCTCCTGAAGACCCATGCTGCAGTAAGAACACTGAAGCCCACAGAGAACACAGGAGACCACAATTTTGGCGCAGCAAGACATTGCTGTACAAGGTAGCATGTGATAGGCAGACCCTTGAGGCCAACATGGCGCTTTCCTGCCTAACAGTGCACACACACAACTCTCAAGACTTCAGGTTTCCTTGAATTGAATGGCTTTCTCCTGGGCTCTATACTTGACAGAACATCAGACCATGGGCATCTAGAGTACCTACTTACTCAGCAGATATGTTTATTTGGTACTGTCTTTGGTGTTAGTGTAGGGAAGGGAAAAAAACTTTTCCCCTCTATTTTCCTAGGTTTTCCAGCTGGAGTCTGAAAATAATCTGACAAAATACAGATGAACAAGAGAAAAACAGAATTTATTAACATGAACAGCATATGTGCACGTGGGAGATACTCAGTGATGGGTAACTCAAAGGGGTGGTTCGAACTTGGACTTACATGGCATCTTAACAAAGAAGGACAAATTTGTAGGGAAGTGACATGACAAAGGGAAAAGAGTTTTCAGGCTTCTAGAGGAAGGTGACTACATGGGAGAAACTAATAGAAAAGGAGGGCCATCTTAGCAAAGTTTGTTTGTGCAGGTTCAGTTTGGTGCCAGGTTTCCATCTTCTCCTTGGCCATAGAGCTTCCCTGGGAGAGGGCATTTGGGGCAGTTTTCATTTTCAGAAGCTTCTGCTTTGAGTCAGATAAGAGAAGCTCTGAGAAGGCTTCTTTCTGCATCTCTTGATTCTCCTTATACCAAAGCTATATATCTGGGGGTGGCATATTCTGATCCTCCACATTAGCTAGTAAGCTGAGATGAAAGTATTTATTTTTAGGGCTAAGTCCTTATTTTTACTAATCTTGGAACTTGGAGATCAACAAACTTCAGTTCTCCTCACTATGTTCTATATGCCAAAAGTAAACACCACTTCATACCATGGTATAATAGTTTCTGTTTAAAAATGCACCAGTCTTTAATGAGAGCTGATAATACTGCACTCTAGATGGGTTCACGCTAATCAATTTTTTTTTGTAATTTAGATTTAATACTTTGTATAATACCATAGATGAATTCCTGAGGAAACTGTATGTAAGTCATGATCAAATCATGTTCATGCACTGGAAAGACTCACTATTTAACAGACTCACTAGAGGAAAATTAGATGGGACCTCTCTCTATACAATTGTGCCAGCGTCCCTGATTTCAAGCGGAAGGAATACATTGATTTTCTCCAAGAGGAAATGGATGCATTGGAGAGATAGCTGGGGCTCAGGGCAGTAAAAGCTTATGTTCCAAACCAGACCATGGCCACAGATCTCTGGAGTGCTGTGTGGTAAGAACCACAGTCACAGCACAAGCACCAAATACTCACACAGCAGCTGCCACCATGACGCCTGTGGCTTCAACCAGCACCCTCACTCTTGGGTCATTCTCCTAAACATCAGCGTCCCCCAGAAGATCCAAATGTCCAAAGAACTGTCATGGGACCCCCTGCATGGAACCCCTGCTTTGACCCCACAGTTTTCATAGAGAGATGTGGACTCTACCGCCTACCCCAAAGATGCAGGAAGGTACAGTTCTCCAAAGGGCAATCCTTGGGTGCCTGGGAATGGTGAAAAAGACTGACAATGGGGGCTGGCAGCCCCAAACTGACAAATGTCAACTACAATTTTGTTCCTGGTTGAAGAGTTTCAAGTTGATTCAACATGGAGATATGGTTTCTTTTACCTATAAGACTGGCAAAAATTAAAGCATCCATAGTGAGTATTATTACTAAGAGTGCTGGAAAGCAGTCTCCCTATCCTGTGGGTTGGCATGTAAACTGATATAATTTATTTAGGGAGCAATTTGGCAATTTCTATCAAATTTCAGACTATGTATTCTCTTTGAATCCACAGTTGACTTTCTATGACTGAAAAGCAATCCTTTTTTTTTTTTTTGTCAAGTGTCTTTTTATCACCAATTAATGCTTTAAAATGCATTTAGAATATTTTACTAGGTTCTCACATTCCACAGAATGGATTGGAAGCTCTATTTTAAGATAATTAATCTATGTCAGTGTCCAATCATTTTATATGGCACCAAACCCAGAAAAAATCAATAAGCAAAATCACTGATATTCCACAAATTGTAGGGGAGCTGTAATCATCTGCCAATACAGTAGACTTACATGCATTTTTAAGTAAAACCTCTTCTAGTTCTTAATGACCCTGAGAAGTGTTTTCCCATCAAATGTTTCAATTTTTAAGCTGGGGTGAATATTTCTCCCCTAGATACTCAAGAGTTCTAAGCTACAGCACTGATCTGCCCATGGCTGGTGCCTGAACCCTGTCATACATTTTGATCAGCATTATCAACATGCACAGATGTAGGGATTTGCATTTCTTTCTGAGGTCTTCACCCTAAGTTGCCAGAGTTTGCAAATAAATATACAGGGTGCTGAATTAAATTTGAATCACAGACAAACAATGAGTAATTGTTTAGTGCAAGTATGTCTGGCTTGTTTATCTGAAATTCAAATGAAACTGGGCACCCCATCCAGAGGAGTATTTTAAGGAAAAGTCCTATGAAACTTTGTATTAAGATATTGTTGAGGACATTGCTTATTCTATCACATAGTTTCTTTTTCACAAAGGGACCAAGCCTAAGTGTTTTTTTGTTTGTTTGTTTGTTTTGTTTTGTGTTTTTGTTTTCTGGTCTAAATACCAGGAAGACTTGGTTGTCTTCTGTGAAATTCATTTGTTTTTATCTTAGAGAGTCTGTACAGGAGTACTTGACCAGGCCACTCTGTTCACTGTGGCTGCTAGCAGGTTAAAGCCACATTTGTGGCCCCTACGCGTGGAAGAGAGCACATCGATACCGTGTTTATGCATATTTTTAGCCTCTTTTCTGGCTCCGTTTTCTGGCCCTATCTTTAGTTTCCTTTATTCTGTTGCTTCTGCTTTATTACTGTTATCTTCTTGGGTTTTGTATCATTTTTAGCACTCTTTAAAAGTCTTGGGGACAGGGTGTGTGAAGAAAAATAAATAGAGTAAACCTGCAGTCTTACAAAAATAGTTTGGTAATTTGATATGGAGTTCTTTGTTTTGGATTCCATCTAAAATGGTTTTGTGATGAAAGGTTTATTTATTGCTATTAGGAGATCTACAATGTAGGCCCACTGTGAAGGTGATCCCATGGTCAAAGGCCCCAAAATGTCAATGGAGTGAGGATCCAAGGTGTTTTCATTCTTCAAGGAAGAAAATGTTCTAATTCTTCACCTGGCTGTTGTATACTCTTTCCTTTATTACCACCTCTAAAATTATCATTTTGTTCAAAGAACATTTGTGTTACTATCATATTTCTATTCAAATAAACAGCCTACCTCCTGTTTTTTCTTTAACCTCTAAGTTATCAGTATGCAGATAAGCAATTTTATACCTTGTTGTCAGAGGGGGAAATAGGGCCACTGTCCATATGGGATGCTTTATGTGTAGCCTCATCTGAGAGCCCAGTTAATTAGGCAGAAAGTTAATTGATTCAGTGGGTGCAAAGGTTGAAACTGAACCCTGAGTTTAGAGCTAAGAGTCTCCAGGTTAACTCTTAGCTCGCTGACCCCCGATAGCGTAAGTGTTTATGATCTGGTGATAGTATTCCCATTTGTCCTTGCTTTATAGGATCAAGTTTTCATTTTTCTTTTTTTCAAAGATTGATTTATTTATTTGAGAGAGAGAGAAAGAGAGAAGGGGGGAAAGGGTGGAGAGAGAGACGGGGAGAGAGAATCTTAAGCAGACTCCATGCTAAGGGCAAAGCCTGACTCAGGGCTGGATGTCATGACCCTGATCATGA